ACAGTAGGCTTGTTAGGTACTGACTTGCTAAAACCATGATGTATAAGGAATAGTGATTGGGTTCACAAAATACATTAAATCAAAACCATCCTGGCTTAGTATGAGGTTTAAATAAGGTCTCTATGGGCAAAAGCTAACTCGTCTTTTGCATGTTGAATTCTCATACTCTGGCCAATAAAGAGATAACAAAGTAATTATAGTATACCTTTTAACAAGATCATCCATTTGTTTCATGGATCTTTGAAAATGAATTCTTGGAAAACTATGACAAGAATATGGATTGAAGCATTTTATAGAAAGACGTGCTACAGCATGCTAGGTATCAGATAAACTTCAGTAAGTATATTATCACAAAATGTTCCATCCTTAGATTTAATTCACATTCTAATGGCGTAACATCTGCAAGTACAATTGCCTTGATAAAATCTGGTCAGTCACTTTCCTGCATATACTTCTGTGCTCAGGCTAGATAATTCATATCCCAACTTCTTCATTTCAGTCCAATAGGATTATTTTAGTCAAGCAGCTACACTTAGAATGGTGACAGGCTGCCTTAGTATCCATGCTGTGATTCACATAGGGATTTTTTTTAATACACATTTGTGCTCATTATCTTAAACTTAACATAGAAGTGTGAGTATTTAGAGCTCTTGCAGTCAACTCTTGTAGACACCATCCATTAGTTTTTGAACCAGCTGAAAAAATGTTGGCATATTATGCACTGACTCCATTGTTTAACACCATTCTGTAAGAGAAATTGACTTGGTGTTGTTTTTACATAACTTTTCTGGGCCAAGTTCAAGAGAGAGATTGGTTGGATTTACCTAGCATTGTTTTCCTTCCCATCATCTGGCAAGAAAAGCAAAGTTGGGCAAATGTTGGGCAAGTGTAGGCAAGCGCTTAAAACAATGGGTACTGGTATACTGCCAGGGGTTCTTAACTTTAACATACCTACTTTGATTTTAAACTGTCAACATTTACTTTTACTATTTTCAAATAATCACGCAACAGTGAAGTACATAAAAATGTCCATCCTTCCATAATATGGCTTCCTCACTAAGGATTAAACTACGTATAACCAACCTTGTTTCCTCTGCGATTGCTGAGGAAAATTATATTCTGACAGCTATTTCTGACTACAAGGACGTATGCAGGGCCCACAATCTACTTTGCATTCTTTTTCGAACATGCTAGTGAAAGAAGAGCCAATTTTGGTTGGAGGAACCGGACATTGAATTATCATTGTTGGGATGAAAGCACAACAAAGCAGTAGAGGCATAACCAGTAGTCCGGCCTTACCAATCAGTTGCCAGATCAAGCATGCTTCTATTGTACAATGACTGGTCCAAAAGCTGCAGCCCACAACTAAGATGACTCTATTTGGAAAAACCTTCTGTTATGATAGAGCAACCCAACTGTTGAAGAGAATAGCTCTCCTCATAATTCCTTCTTCAGTCCTTGCCATCCTATCCTTTATGATTTTTGATGGAGAGGAAAAGGGTCAAGATAATCTTAACTCTATATTTAGGAAACAACCTGCTGGCAGAGAAAACAATTTCAAACTGGATCGTATCCTCTGATTGTTCGTGTTCGTGTTCATAAAAATAGTATTGGTCTACTTGACGTGGTCTCCCTTTGAAGATCATGTGCAGATAATCCAATGCTATAAGTTCAGGTGGGATAATATGGGTTGAAACCATATTTGCAAATTCAAAACACAGGCAGAATGTATTTATTAAACATACTAGCTGTACCCGGCCACGCGTTGCTGTGGCTCAGTCTGGTAAAAGCATGTGTTGCTTTTACGTCCAACAGATGGTGCTGTTTTTCAAAAAAAGCATGTTTTACCTGTCACAGGTGTGATATCTATATAATATAGGTAGATAAAAACACGCGCGTATTCGAATACAATGTTGTGTCAAAATTTCAAAGCAATCGGTGAAGAACTTTCAGAGATTTAAGATTTTGAACAAACGAATATAGATTTATATGGCTGCCCACCTACCGAAAACTCTTGAGTGGTAAAGAAATCAAAGCAACAATAGAATCCATTATATCAAACAAAGGGCATAACAAAAATAGCAATAATAGTCAAAAGACCTTTTTAAAAAAATCTTAAACCATAACAACCGACAGACCTGCACCCATATCAGAGCTCCAATAGCTCCCTGGCAGGAGTGCCGGGGTGGTGGTGGGGAAGAGCCAGATCATTCCATCCTTGCAGAAATCTAACAAAACAGAAATAATTCAGCTTCCTTTTCAACAAGTGAAGAAATATTTATTAGCTTGTTTGCCAATTGAAGCACTTTGCTATGGATTTTGTGCCAACCTAATTTGGAGAGAAGAGTCTTTATGTTTTCAAGTAATGGCTACATATAAATCTTTCACATACAATGCCCAATTTTACAAGCAGGAAAAAAAATTCCCCTAGTGCAAGAACAAGATGTTTGCCCAGGAAATCCAGAGGAATTACAAAACTCTAACCATTCTGAGAACGTATTTATTGATTTGATTTTTATCCCATTTTTATTATAAATGGGATATATTATAAATGGGATATATCCCATTTATAAATGACTCAAGGTAGAGAACATACTGTACCTAATAGTCTTTTCCTCCTCCTGTATTCCCCACAACAACATCCCTGTAAGGATGGGCTGAGAGAAAGTGGCTGGGTCAGTCACCCAGATGGTTTTCATGGCTAAGGAGGGACTAGAACTCTCAGTCTCCTGGTTTCACCATTTGAAATAATGTGGCCTTTGATAAAATCACACAAGGGATTTTATTCCAGTTTGTATTGGTTGCAGGCAACAAGAAACCTCAAGAATTGCTAGTATTTCTGGAAGTCTGATTAGTATCTTTAAATGCTGTACAGCAGCAGGAGCATTGTTCAATGAAACAATCCCTAAATGGGTTCATAATCCAGAGAACCCTGGATTATGTGGGATCTCTGGATTATATGGGCCATTTAGAGATGACAATGATTTCCATCTGCTTTCTTACTTAGATCCCAGCCATTCTCCCTTTACAGCCCTACACCTACTATTAATTTATTTTAGAATTAGCCAGAACCATGAGTTTAGGCCAGGGGTCTTCAAACTTGGCCCTTTTATGACTCGTGGACTGCAACTCCCAGAATTCCTCAGTCAGTGTGCCTGGCTGAGGAATTCTGGGAGTTGAAGTCCACAAGTCATAAAAGGGCCAAGTTTGAAGATCCCTGGTTTAGGCAACATGTTATAAAACTGAATTATCTAAGTTCTCACATTATCAGAATGAATCAAGTGGGCGCAATTGATATAGTTAGGTTGAGGGGGAAGCCTCAACCTTCAGGATTGCATGTGGGCTTCCATGTTACCAGAAGCTTTTCTGATGACAATGATCAATATTTTATTTATTACACTTCTCCATCATTTAGAGATGGGAAGCAGTGAAAAACTTCCAAGTTGTAGAAGCTATGAAACCCTTAAATAACATTCCTAAACTAACTCTCTCTCCCCCCTCTCTTCCTCTCACTCACTCAAGCACACACACACACTCTTCTATACACACACATCCCAAGCTTGCATTTTACAGTTCAGAAAGTACCTTGGGCAAGATCACACAGAGAAGAAAAAATGCCAGATCCCTACCATTATATGACTTGGCTTAACACACTGTGGGCTCCAGGCGATTGTAGAACATAATTTATTGCACATCATCTTAGAAGAGACTGATTTCAGAATAAAAATTTACAGGCCACCCTTTTATCTTTATTAAACTGGGTTCAGAAATGTGGCTGACATATAACTGGCAGATGCATGATGGCAATCACTTTGCTGCTGTGAGCACTGAGAGTCCATCTGCAAGTCTAGCTGACTTCTGTGGGCATGAACCATCTTCAGGAGCAATAAAAGGTGGTCTCTGAAACACCTGGCCCAGAAAACCATTTACACCAAGGAGACACAAAACTCAGCCCTTAAGTCCCAGTATCCCTTTGGAAGATGCTACCATATCTCCACATTTTATTTTATGCTGGAATGAAAGAGAAGAAGAAAACCAGTAAGCAAGGTGGACAGATTCAATCAACAGTAATGATGAGTTGAGAAGACCTGAGAAACCTGGTTGGGGAAAAACAGAGAAAAATCTAGATACGCGATCGCTACAAGTTAGGAAGACTTGATGCTACATCAAGCAATCTGTGAAAGGAAAAGGCGAATATGAAAGGACCTGTTGTAAATGCCTACCTCAGCCAAGGTCGGCACAAGTGAATCGAAAGAAATTCTCTCTAGTAAGGTAAGGGCGGACCAGAAGCCACAAAAAGCAACGAGATGACTTGCCTTTATTATTACAACTTTAACCCAAAGATGCTTTTTCACGAGTCAACTGGACTTTTTTGTTTTCCTTTGAGGACGGGTTCCGCACCATCCAGTCAGAGCGGAAGAAGCTTCTTGGATGAGAAGCGAAAGGTCTTCAGAGGAAAACAAGAAAGTCCAGTGGCCTCGTGAAAAAGCATCTTTGGGACTATGACCCGGACGACGGAGAATCTCCATAGACATCACAACTTTCACATAGCCCCAGATTCAGTGAAGCGTTCCCTTCTCGCAGCCTCCTCCGAACTGACGCAGATAACTGATGTGTTGGTTCAGTTCACACGCTGTCCGAGCGCAGCTGACGCCAGTCTCCGGGCTTGGGAATCCTGAAGATCGCGCAGTAGCGCAGTCTGATTCAGGAAGGCACCAAGTTGTTGGGAGTCCTTCGCGCAGGACAAAGCGGGTACAAACGAGAGGGGGCGAACTCCGAATCTGAGCCGCTTTGGCTAGAAGCAGGGGGGGGGGGAAGGGAGCGCTCTCACTTCTGCAAGCTTCTGGCAGATTTCAAGTTGCGCGCCCAGGGCGGGTTCCGCCGACACAGGGCCAGGCGAGCTCCTCCTTCTCTTCGCACCTCGGCGGTTCTATTACTGGCAGGCTTCGCCTTGACTTCTTCCTCGTCGCTGGAGCGCCTCTTCGGCCGGGCTGGAGAACATGCACTGCTTGCCGAGCCTGGTGATGACCCTGAGCGCCCTGTTGCTGATCTTGGGGCTGCTGCACTTGTTGGTGTTTTGTCAGCGGCCCTCTTGCTACGGGAAGCACGAGCCCCGCCAGCCAAACCCGGGGGGAAACCACGCCGCGGAGACGCCGCGCCGCGCCCACCTGCCGGCCCGCCGCGCCTGGTTCCTCCAGGAGCTGCCCGCCTTCCTGGTGCCCGCGCTTCTGCTGGCGCTGCGTAACCCGCCCGGCTTCGCGCCGCTGGGCTGCAGGCTGCTGGGCGGCATGTTCTGCGGCCACTATTTCCACAGGTGACCGCCAGAGAAGGAGGTCGGGCTGGAAAGGAATGGGAGAGGAGAGGCGAGCACCGCGGCTCGCTCGAGCGCGGGCGAGGATCTCCCTGCGCTGCTTCTTTAAGCCGACGGGCAGCTAGATCGTCTTCTTCTTGCTCCGTAGCGAATTCGCCTAGTTTTGTATTTGGGGGGGGCGCCGGGTGGAGGGGGGTGGCAGTGGGGATGTCGAGTCCGCAAGGCGCTTTTTGCGCATCCTGATCCTTTAGGGGGCCGGGGGATCGGGCTTGAGTCCCAAGGTTAAAGCGCCGGTTGCGCGGGTACGGAGCGTGGAGCTTCGGGAGTGGCGATCCAAGTTGGGACCGATTTGGAAAGAATTAAACTTTTCCGCTTTTTTGGGGGGGGGGACTGACTCCCCGCGCAGATTTTTTTTGGGGGGGGTTGTGTGGTGTGAAAGGAGCGGGATGTTGGTTCTTTTGCAGTTCTGCAAAAGGCGCAGAGATTTGGGAGGGATTCTTCGGGACGCAGGTGTACAGGATTGCAGCCTTAAACTCTGGGAATTATGAGGCTCTTTATTGAGAAGTCGCCTTGTTCCGTTGCCCAGGTCAGATTCTGGGCTCTGTTTGGGCATGCGCTATTTGGGACCGGCGTATCGAGATTGAAGTCTTAGCCGAAGTATAAATCCCGCTGAATTCTCCATAAAGGTTGTTTACAGGGTAAGATTTTCTAGTCGAGTTTCACTCCTGGTGACTTCACTGTCAGGTTTAGTGGATAGGACCCGCAGTTCCTGCAAATAGTATTCTTGAGTAGCTGAAATGCTTAAGCTTTGCAACCCTTAATTCTTATGCCTAAAAATATCCACACATGTAGAGATGATATCTTGAGAAGTCTTTGTCTTTCCTGTCTGCTACAATTTATTGCAATAAATATTCAGCTTCTATTTTAAAAACGAGGAATGAGGAAGAAAGAAAATATTCAAAGCTATTGATGGAACAGCTTGCATTCCCTGGCATAACAAGATCGTGATACCGTGTGAAACTGTTTTTGTGCTTGTAACACTTTATTTACACCATTCACCTTTTATGTCCAGGGTCTTTCCAGAGTCTCGGCTCCTGCCCTCCTAATCCTTTAAAATCCTTCTTTTAAAAAAGTGTCACGTTAAAAGTGTAAGAATAAAAATATAAGTTTCTTGAAAAAACTTCCCAACCAAATTCCTGTGTAGGATAGCCAACCCCAATGTGTCCTGCAAGATGTGGACTGTAATTCCCACAATTCTTATCTAGCAACTGCTTCTAGGTTTTGTGAGACTTGAAGTCCAATACATTAGTACAGTGCTCAATATAAAACAAAATGTGGGGGAGGAACTACTTTTTGTTAACCCCATTTGTGGATTTATACATCGGTGTCTGTGTGCACAGAATCCTACTGGTTCTGCTGCTGTTGGGAAAGTGGATTCTTGCATATAGGCAGAAGGAGGAACTAGATGACCTGGAAGGGTCATTTCAGTCGTTACACTCTCTGATTCAGTGGCCCCTGCTTTCAAAATAGTGTCTATGCATAGCAGCAGTTGTAGTAGCCTTGCAGAAGAATTGTAACTGCAATTTTAAGGCTATATTGTTATAACACTCCATTGGAAGTTGCCTCTCTTGAACGACAATGATTGGATTGGTGTTACATCTCCTATATAGTTACTTTGAAAGGGCAAATAAAGTAAAATATTTAACGTGTGTGCTAAAGGCACTGTGTAAATGTCATGTTACATACTTTTATTAAAAACAGATTAAAGATGATTTAAATCTTGTTATTAACCCTTTAGTCTTGATGAAAAAAAATATTAAAATGAATGTTTCTAATTATCTTTTAAAATTGGTTTTGGAAGATACAGCTTATATTCAACTATATAAAAATACGACATTTGTGCCAGCTTTTTAAGGTTGAAATAAAAGTATGGTATTGACAGATACAGGATTCAAATGTATAAAGTTGTGTAAAATGTATATTTAACAAAAAAAATGGCCTAGGGTAGGAAGGAATAGAATCAAAGAATGCTAAAAAGTTAATTTAATGAGAATGACTCTTGACAATGCATGCTTATTTGTTGTGTGCCAGCTCTATTTCACCCAATTCTCTGGGAGCTGAAAGTGATTGAGAAAGGAGTAACGTCTCTTTAGAACAGAGTTTCTTAACCTTGGCAATTTTAAGATGTGTGGTTTTCCCTTTGCTGGCTGGGGAATCTGGGGAGTTGAAATCCATATATCTTAACGTTATCAAGGATAACTTTAGAGGTTGCTTTAGAGCAGACATGTCAAACACAAGGCCCGGGGGCCAGATGCGGCCCGCGAAGTGGTTTCATGTGGCCCGCGAAGCCATCCTGGAAACAGTGAGGGAATGGCCCCCACTGCCTTGGCCCTGGCCCAGGCCGGCCGGGAGCCAATGTACAATTTTGTGGTAGCCATCTATGCTGAAACACATTCAGTCTTAGCTCCACAAGGCTGTCTGGAAACAGCGAGGAATCAGCCCCTGCCGTGTCGGCCCCGTCCCCTGGGTGCATGCTGGGGAGGTGTCACCCTTTGTGAGGAATGAAGAAATGGACCATGCCTTGGCACTTACCCCGGTCCCACCCCCTTCTGCCAGAGACCCTCAGATCTGTCCCACTCCTGCCCAGGCCCCCACAGGAACCCTTGACGCGAACGATGTAGAGCTGGCCACGCCCACCCAGTAGGCCACACCCACTCAATCCACACCCACCCAGTAGGCCGCACCCACCCTGGCCACATCCACCCAGCCCCCCGAGGGCAACTGCAATGCTGATGCGGTCCTCAATGAAATTGACACCCCTGTTTTAGAGGTTCTTTTTGCGCTCATCCACACAGCAACAGTGATATCCTTCCTTCCTTCTGCCCCAGAACCAAGAAGAGAACATGCTAACACAGCTGTTGCCTCACAGTATGTACTTACCCTGCCTCTGGGATCCAGCTGTACTGGATTACTGTTGATACTACAAAACCACATGGAATTGAATAGTTTATGATAGGCAATTACTTCCCTGTGATCTCAAACTGCAATGCCGTCCACAGAAACAACCTGCCGACAGGATTGTGTTTGGGGGCATACCTTTTCTGCTTGGACAACATTTCTTTTGTGGAAAGGAATCTGGACTTAGCAAATATCAGTCATTTTTTCTGTGTCAAGGCTTTGGAAATATGGTGGGGGTTTGCCAGATATTGCTCAATAGGAAACTTCTCAGAGTAAAATTTTTGAGACAGCTTTTACTGCATAGTGTTATTTTATTTAGTTGGTATGTATACTTTGTCCTTTGGGTTGAAGTTACATTGTGTACTGGAATAACCACAACAGCAGAGTTCTCTTTCCACCCTTTTCCACTCCATTCATTTTTCCAAAACCTGCTTTTGGGCATCCTAAAGTTCAAGCTCCATTCTCCTTTCCTTTGTGGTTAACTGCATGCTTCCTCCTCTATTGTCCATTTCTCTGCTCTTATCTCATTGTTTGCCAAAAATCTCATTTGCCCGTAGATGTGACAAAGAGCCATATTTCAATCTACAGCTCCCAATGATGAGGGCACTGAAAGTATTTCTTATGTGCTACCTAAACTGGGATAAATATTAAAAGACAAACAGAGATGTTGGCCAATTGCTACACTCACTTCAGGGTTTTTGTGCCTTTGTCGGTTTCAACATTGGGAGCTTGACGATATGGGAACATCAACTCTCATTATTCCTCAGCCACCCTACTGGCTGGCCTACTAACTGAGGAATTCTGGGAATTGAAGTCCACACATTTTCCAGTTGCCAAGATTGAAAAATTAACTGGTCTAATAACGCCAGTAAGAGACACCGATACATATTTTGTTTTGGCTTCATGCTTGTGCTGGAGAAGGTTGCTAATTGCTTGATTGCCATTGCCAACGCTGCACTTTCTTCCAAAGCATTCTAAAAATGCAAGTCTGCATTGACAGAAGAAGGTGGCACTATTAATCAAGCTAGCACTGAGTATTGTGTTGTGGCAATTTGCTCTGCTATGTACTACTAGATATTGCCGGCAATACATTCATGAGCCCATTTACAATCCTACATTGTAAATGGGCTCATGAATGTATTTGCCGGCAGTGTCAAACTCCTTCTCCCCTCCAAAATAGAAGAGTGAACTTTGGCAATGATACTTTGCAATGCATTTGCATTTCCGACCAATTCCCTCTGCATTTCTGGCTAACCTTCCTAGAGCAGTGGTTCTCAACCTGTGGGTCGGGACCCCATTTGGGGTCAATCGACCATTTCACGGGGGTCACCAAGCAAGGCTGTCCACCATTTTTTTCCGCCATTTTTTTCCCGTTTTCCAGCGGGTGCCTTACCTCCCTTGGGCTGGGCCAGTTGGTGGTCGGCCTGGTCCGTCTCTGCCGCTTGCCAGCTACGCCTCAGCCAGCGCAGGGGGCGGAACCACGCATGCACGGCGCTCCCGGGCAGGGAAAGTCCTCGACTTACGACCGGTTTAGTCCTCGACTTACGACCGGTTTAGTCCTCGACTTACGACCGGTTGGGGTCGCGGCATTAAAAAGGTTGAGAACCACTGTCCTAGAGGGCTCTATCTTGACATTCACATTACAGAGAGGAGCCACGTAATACAGTATATGGGACTCTGTGAGTAGGATACCCTCTACAGTGCTTTTGAGCAGAGAGAAGAGTATTAGTGCCCAATAATTAAAATGAGATTCATGTATCACTGGCATGGAAGGTAGTCACTAGAGTTCCATGTTACAGTATTTGTTTTCCCTCTCTTGTTAATTTTGCATGCTGTGCACTGTCCTGGCAGTCTCACTTGTACTGTTAAGCTGAATTTAGTATCCAGAATCCCAAGCAAAGAAGAACTTTATTTAGGACTCATGAGAAGCTAAATTGAACTAAACTACATTATGGCTTAGTGTTATTAAGAATGTACAAACCCCATTGAGAATAACATTCTAACAACTATAGCTTTGCTATGTTTACTATTATGACTACTTTAAC